ATCAAGAAATCAAAAGTGTTTAGTTTTCCTTATATTGACGCGAATCGTTGAATAGGGAAGAGCGACTAAAGTTGTACATTGTTTTCGAGACGGGCCTCTGCGGTGCACTTGGCATTCCGCAAAACTATTGTCAGAGGTCGAGGACGTTTCGTGTCTCTTTTAGGGTTCCGTACACAAAGGGTGACACTGGACCCTATTACTATTGAGTTCCGCTATCCGTCCGTCTGTCACAAGGCTGTATCTCATGTACCGTGATAGACAGTTGAAATTTTCACAGATGATCCTCCGTTGCCACTTTAACAACAAATATTAAAAACTAGTATTAAAAACATTTAAGTAGGCCTCCCGTACAAGAAACACGTAATGGCACGGAACCCTTCGTGCGCGAGTCCGACTCGCACTTGGCCACTCTGCTCGGGGCCCCGTCTAACCTTCAGCGTTCGTGAACGATCATTCCCAGTCGTACGGTTATTTTTAAAACGAAATTCGCTTGGTGTCACCGCACACGGTGCCAGTTGCCTGTTTTGAAGCAATAAACGAATGGTCTAAACAACAAATGGATCTTAACAATTATTGCGCGTTACTTCAATTATTGCTCAGCATCGTGAAATCAGCATGAAATAAGTTTAAAATCGCTCTATCAATCTTGATGAGCACGTTTACAGTCTATTCATGGGAAAATTCAAAACCTATTGAAATAAGAGTTAAATATGCAGTGACTTCCGGATTTAACTTGAAATTGACGACGGTCTATTCAGCTGATCTTTTTCCTAATTGTATATTTCACTTACCGAAATCTTAATTTCTTAAAAATTTTACACGTGGCGCGCACTAAATGTTTCCGGAATGAATACGAAAAAAATACTATTAAAGGTCAACAATGAATCATTTTGGTTCAATCAAAAATGGTTCATTGTTTTTGAAAATATTGTATTTAGTGTAATTGAACATATATAGACAATTGAACTTTTCCATACGATTAAACCAATATCGAAAACACTCGTGCCACTCCTCCGTGACAAACGTGTTTTTCGTATTCTTCGACAGCCTCTTCTGGTGATGAATATCGTTGACCGCTAATTTGTTCTCAATTGGGAACAGGAAGAAGTCACAAGATGCCAGATCGGGACTATAGGCAGGACGGCTCATAAGTTCTACAACCGCGATGGACCGTAGGACTATCAACATGTCGGAACTATCGCATGCATGAGTCCTACCCACTGAGGAGGGCGTCAAACCCGTGGGTACCGGCTAGCCCTCCGGTTCTGCGTTCGATGAAGCTTTAATAGTCTAAGAACTAAAAGGGTAACATCAGTTATACAGAAAAAAAAGTTCTACACTTTTCACCTTCAAAAATTCGATTACCTCTGGCCGTGTGGGCATTCTGCCTAGCATTCGTGGTTAAAACCATCAAAAAATCACCAAATGGTCGGGTACCAGTCACTATTTAAGGTACGGCGATTATCTAAAGCAACGGTAGCCGTGTCAAGTTTTGTTAAAAAAAGCAATCATCCGCTTACATGCACTTTTCAAGCGCTTTTTGTTTAGTTTCGGCTCATCTTGAAAGACCCACGCTAGATAGCTGATTTGTTTTCGGATCACAGCAATAAAACAATGTTTCATCACCTGTTACCATGCCCCCCCACACCAAATTTGACGCCCTTTAAGGTAAGGATGGTAAGGATGCCCGCCCGTTCATTGAATGCCCTGGTAAGGATGGCATTGTACTACGGGTATTGGGTAACTGATAAGTAATAGTACTTAAACATACTTCCCTTTCGTAAATAAATACATTCAATACAGATATACAAACACCCAGTCACTTGAAAAATACCACGCAGCAACTCGGCTGTACTATGACGACCCGAATGGCATTGTCCGGGTAGTACCACGACCTGCACAGAAGCGCCAGACGGTGTGGGTATCGATCCCCACTACTGGATACTTTCGCGTTGTCTGTGATGAACATAGTATTTTTCGGAGTGCCCTGGGTGTTAATATATGTATAATATGTATCTTTACAAAAGAAAAGTATGCAGAGTCCATGTTTATCACTTAACTCAGTGAACCCTGCTCGCTTTGACTTACTTTTGGGACTAAAAAAAAATAAAAAAAAAAAAAATGTGTCCTAAAAATATTTACTTTTCACTTTATTCACACAACATTCTTTCAGTAGTGGGGTTATCAAACCCTCCGACGCAATAGACCGGTCCACAATCATCTACGTCAACCTTTTGTCATCTCATGTCATGCCATTGGTTGTCATTCAGAAATGGCATCGTCACTTAACGGTCTCCGTCCTGGTAGGGCGCAATAGACTGTCACTAAAAAGGCAACCTCCTCCGCCCGGCGCTCCCATATCGGAGGCTGCGGTCTGAACAACGCTCTCACCCGAGGCCATTGTGATTCGTTGAGATAGAACACGACGCACGTGCCCAAAGAAAATGGCGGAAGAGGTTGCATCGGTGTTTCTACGGGCCACGTGTGCTGTTGACGGAAAACGTGATTCAGGGTTCCGTATTCCGATTAGTACAGATACAAACTAGAAACACCGCTCTCCCATCTGTCCGTATATGGACCCTTTTCTCAGGAATGAGTTCGGGTGTCTAGTTAAAATTGTGACGACATATTGTGTCACATATTTTTCTGCACGTCTAGCTCAAGGGCTTTGAATGTCAACTTATTAACTGAGTATGGTGTACAAGGTACTTAATAACTTGTGGGGATCAAGCTATCTTCGATCCGTATATAGTAAGAAAAATTCCGATCAATAATTTGTGGTAACTAGTTTGTACATACTCTTTGTACTCCTTCCCTCCCCTCCCGCATCGAATGGCTCAGTTTCCTATTGGAGTCTTTGGCTGAAAAAGCATGCAAACATACTCAGGAAATTGCAAAATTTGTATAAAAAACAAATTTACATTATATCAGGAAAGTTTCGCAAAAGCCTATAACTGTCCCACTGCTGGGCAAAGGCCTCCTCAATACAAATCAGGGCATAGTCCACCACGCGGCCCCACTGCGGATTGGCGGACTTACATCTTCGTAATATATTATTTCGAAAATATGCAGGTTTCCTCACGATGTTTTTTCGAGCAAAGACAGCACTTAAAGTTAAAAACTTCATTGGTGCCGGCACCGGGAATCGAACTCAGGTTGCTCGAGTATATTGAATTAAAGGCGAGCGCCCGGACACTGAGCTATCACGGCTCAGGTAATTGTGATATATTGTGCAAGATATTCAAATGTATACAGAGCCCTCAGAGATCGGGTCATACTCACTCTTTTTTTTTTATGTGACACACGACGATTTCAGAGTGCCAGTGATAGTATTGTATGTACATACTGGGCCTGGTTATTTTGTACATAAGAGATAAATTTTGTCGGTTAAATTACGACAACATCGCGTAAATACGGAAATAAATGATTACGCGTACATGTTTTTGTAATCAAATGTATGATACATCTACCTCGGTCACATTTATGATTACTTATTTATTTACTTAATAATTTATTTAATACGAAAACTACAGCTTACATTCAGAACTAAGGTTAATATAACTGTACTAACTAATTACTATTTTCTTATAGTATACATCACAAAAATATTTCAGTACAATGCGAAACAATTCACAAAGTAAGTTATCGGACCAATCGATTTATCGATAGTCGTCAAACAATTGAGTGACGACTTACCATTTAAACACACGAATCAAATTATTATCATTGATAAAATTGCACGTTGGCATCAGCATACCGTATCCAAATCGAGAGATATGCTACCCGCAGTTCGTGTAGATTTTGGTGGACATGACATGTGACACACCCACAATTAGTTCCTGTTTATTTGCTGGTACCTCGCTGGCCACGTGAATCAGCACAATACTTTCTGTTTGCACGAATGTTGTCAACGACTCTCGTCGGGTAAGTATCCCTTCATCGACCTTCGCTTGACAACTTTTCTGATAAAAAAATATACTACAATTTTGGTAACAAGTTAAAAATGCGCAAGCAAATTTTTTTATAATATTTTCTAAACTTTAAACAGTTTCCTTAAAAAATTATTAATGGTCTAGCTTTCACTTTTTCTCTTACCGGGATCCCATAATGTTAATTAAAATTTTTATATTCACTAATATTCTTCGGTAGGTATGCGATCTGTATTCGATTAATAATACTCGTAGCAAGCAAGGAGTACTTTCGAGCAGAAAACATGTCTCAAACTGGCGAAAAGTAAGTAGTGGATAGATACTCATATACGTTTTTTTTCGCGTTTAAAACGTGTAAGGGCACTTATTTCGTGAGGTAGGGCCGCAGCAGCCCAATGTTGCACGAAAGGCTCGTCCGGGTTGACCTCACAACGCATAATACTCGGAACCCTGGGTGTATTTTCAAAAGGTTGTCAACGCATCTGGAACCCTAGGGTGTAGTAGATGTCCATGGGCGGCGGTCTTCACTTAACATCAGGTGAACCGTCCGCTCGCTGGACAACTTTTCACATAAAAAAAAATACAGTAGGTACATTATCCTGTGTTGTAAGGACGTTTTACAAACGTAAATTTCACGAGAACGAGTACTCAGATCCGACACAATTATCAGTGTGTCACACAAATAGTTGTCCCGTGTGGGAATCGAACCCACGAACCCGGCACCGAATCCAATACCTTGGCAGCTGCGCCACGGAGTCATCGAACTGTCTGCCTGTTACTAGGTCTATTTCCCCGTCTACGGCTGCGACGTACCTTTTCAAGTTCAAGGGAGACAGCAACATTCCGACGTTTTCTCCCTTTCGCATTTTTGACGATCAAAGCTCGCCCGACATCAATTGGACCGACGGAATCAACGGGAAACTCACAAACAACACACTAACGATCGTGCGTGAGCTGTTATGACTGTAGAAAAAAGACGGAGCGACATGATTTACGCTCGCCTTTTGAACCGTTCGCTGAGGCATCGCGGATGACGCGAGTCACCTGCTCTCACGCGCTGTTTACTCGTCGATGATAGATCGGGCCGACGAGCCGCTCTTTTCTGGCTCGCGGAACGCTCAGCGTGTGCAGCGAGCATGCAAGCAGCTGGGACCGCTCTTTCTGCGGTCCCTCGTCTTCCGCTCGACGGGCAACGGAATTAGATTCTGCCGAGTGATCGCGGGTACAGTTCCGTTTCGGGCGGATTCAAATATTAAATTTCTGTCGAATTATTACACATCCAACGCCTAAATTCATTCAATCAGTTCTTTGTTAGTGTTCGTAGTTAGAGTGATGACTTGATGGCACAGATGCTCAGCTATTGGCTTAGGATTATTCGCCGCGAAACTCACGGGACAGGTTTTTGTGTGACACAGGAGTAATTGTGTCTGATCTAACTGTTTGTTCCCAAGATCTATTGAGTACAATAAAATTAAGTAATGATTATTGAACACAAAAGCAACTAACTACCATATGTATACACAAAGTTGGGAAACATGTAAATTAAAATTATTGTCAGATGTTTTAGGACCTAAAATATATTTTAAATACTTTAACAGCGTTCATCGCCGTGTAAACATTTAATGCGAACGCGTAAAAACAAATCTCAGTCGCAATTTATATCATTCGAAAAAAAAAAAGACTTCTTTAAATTCAAAAGCCAAACGTCCGAATCGAGCGTGCAAACGACGCAATAAACGCAATCATGGCCGTCAGATCTAGCGCTGATGTCGCTACACTTTCCCGCCAAAACGAAAGACGCCTCGCTCGGGACCGACCGACGGCGACTCGAAAACCGGCCCAGAACATCCCGCCCCCGTGAACTAGTTCGCGTAATTAGCTCGCGGTGCGCGCCATTTTGCGGCGAAACAACGTTACTCACAATCATAACGCCGATGACCGATTCCCAACTCTAGGCACGCCGGAGCAACATGGACGCGGCCGAATGAGCGGCGAGACAACACCCGCGAAATTATGAAACGTCGAAAACATGACACAATGATATCGTTGCTGAAGTTCATTAAGATACCAAAAAAAGTACACCAGCACAAACGACGCCTCTGATGGAATGAGACAGCCAGCGCTGCCAACACACTGCCAATCTTAAAAGTGCCTTACGAACATCGAACTGTAAGAAAAGAGTATTAAAATTTAAAAAAAAACGTTATTAAAGATAATAATTATTAAAAACCAAAAAAAATAATAAACACTGGTGCTCCGAAACAATAAATAGAGTAAAGCGACGCGACGAAAATAATGTTAGTGAACGCCACGCGGGAAACTGTGAGTTCGGACTGAAGCATTTAAAATGTTAGACGTTTTCCGCGGACTAAAGAATCTCATAAAGGTGAACTATGTGCACATCGACTCGCCCGTGTTCCGTCTGCACTACTCAATAACGGTCATACTGCTGATCTCGTTCAGCCTGATCGTGACCACGCGCCAGTACGTCGGCAACCCCATCGACTGCATCCACACCAAGGACATACCGGAGGACGTGCTGAACACGTACTGTTGGATCCACTCCACGTACACGCTGAAGAGCTTCTTCAACAAGAAGGTGGGTGTGGAGGTGCCGTACCCTGGCATCGGCAACAGCCGCGAGAAGGGCAAGGAGGACATGAGCGACAGGAAGATCTACAAGTACTACCAGTGGGTGTGTTTTTGCCTGTTCTTCCAGGTGAGTCCCTCGAAACTGCCTCTGTTTATTTATTTATTTATGTTAATTCCAAACCAGCTTGACTGTTATCCCACCTCATGGTAAGTGGCGGTGCAGCCGTTGGTATGCTAGCTCAGTAAAAACTATTCACTCTTGCCTTGAGCTATCATTTCATCTGAATAAATCTTACCAGAACTGCCCGCGTTGTTCCATTGGTGCAATGCTATGCGCTGATACAGCTACCAACGTATTGGTTGACTTTAGTCTTTCATCGCTGTCTACGTTCAGAACAAACAAACTTAAGATAATTTTTTACCTATTACAAAGTGAAAACTGAAAATTACGTACTAAAGAGCCATAAAGCAATAGATTGTAAATGTCCCACTGCCTATGAGGACGCCCTCAGAGGCCTTTGCTCAGGAGTGTGGTGGATGGACTACGCCCTAATACCCATTCCACTCGACCCGGGGTGGGGGGATTAGTAGAATTCACGTATCCTGGAAATATACGTCAGTTTCATCGTGATGCTTTCCTTCACTGACAAATATGTCACCATGATAAATCAGGACCTCAAATTTCAATTAAAAATGTCAGTAGTACCGGCACCGAGGTTTGAACTAGTGTAGCTAGGGTATATAGAATCAGAAGCGAGCGCCCGGACACTGAGCCAACACTAAATACGTGAATTTAAACGTAATTCTGATTATTATTTTTTCTTCCCAAACCTGTTGTCTAAATTTCGATATAAGCAGAATGTCTTCAGGAGATTACGTTTGACAAAAATATTGCAAACATCTTAACATGGCTTGAAAAATTCTGCCTGTCTTTAAATCTGTTGCGCACTTAAAATTACTGGCTTATCTACGCTATGGCCAAAGTGAAGCCTAGTTTTGGCGTGGCGAAAGAATTTAGCGTGGTGTATATAACGAGATCAACATCTCTCGACACGTTTTCTGAAACGTATGGAGAACGAGACGAACGTTTTATTTACAAACATTATTAAATCGAAAAGTATTACGCTAACGAAATCATAATGTGAGATCATCCAATATGCTCATCTATATATCGGTTTGTTTGTATGTAGGCCATAGCATCGGAATGTGACGAAGTTACTAAACTCACATAAACCTAAACTCCCCAAACTTGTTGTCTACAATTTCTATAGGTACTTTAGTCGTTGTAATTTCTTCATTTCCTTCTTTTTAGTTTTTTTTTTTATTTATGTTATTAAAATAATTTTTCACTGTACCCTTATTAGGTATCTTCAGATATGATCATAATTGACATATTTGAATTTCAAAATTTCCGTTACACACCTTTTTTATTTAGCGAAAATAAACAGCCTTTCACCGTTAGCCCGATATCTTCGTCTTGATATGAAACAGTTAACTTTTTGATATAATAATATATTTAATAATCTTTACCAGTCGTGATAAATAAACAATTACCGACAAACTCTCACACTCATCATATTTACAAAAAGCACCAGTATCCTCTGAAAAGTTACGAAAACCAATAACTATTAGTAAAATTACTAGTACAACTCTACTATTTATTATGTTTTCAACTAAAAACGATACTTCTAGCTAAACGTTGTTTAAGTTCTAGTTATTAAAGATGCCGCTTAAATATAAAGAAGCGCCTCTGTATGGCTAATTATTTGAAAGTCAAACAACATTTACCAATGTTACACGCTCGATTTCATAACCCGTGCATCCGCGCGAGCGGCTATTAGGTGGAATTAACACAACCCCGCGTCCAAACGCTACCCGGGAAGCGCTCGCTAATTAAGCACCGAAAGCGCTGAGTGTGTCAGCAGGTCGGGGCTATAATTGGCCCGCGTTAGCTGTATAAGGCAGGTGGTCGGCAGACGCCCGTCTACTGTCGCAACATCAAGGTGCGCTGCAGCACGAAGGGAGCAAGCGCGTTTACGGCGCTATTTTTGGCTCGTTTACGGCGGCTGCGACCCGTTTCACATGCTTTTATTATCTGTGCCGCTTTTGTTTCTCTATGCCGCTGTAAGCGTAGTCCGGCCCGTTAATCGAAACGCGGGAATTCGGACGGAGCGATTTTTGGCATTGTGAACGCGACGATACGACGCGGTATGCGATCAGAAATGTGTCGTCGACTGTACAAAGTTTGGAAGCGTTCGCGTAGTTCTTATGGCGATGTATTAAGGTGCATTTTAGCGGATTTTTGGCGTGCTCGTAGAGCTAATCGCGTTTAATCCCGTCTGTTAATGTAAACGCTGTCTGGAGTGCGCGCGAACTGATTTTTGGCATTGTAAACACGATGATACGTTTGTGTTATATGATTAGTGAGGCGTTATCGAAGCAGCACATTTAATAATATATCAAAATATGTTTTGTTGTTATTGTGAACGCGACTTACATTTCATCAATGTTAATGTTATAAAGTATAACCAACTTTCATGCGCACCTTTTGATGTCAAATGTCGATGAAACGTAATTAGTTTTTTACGCGATGAAAGCAACTTTTTACTATTTTTGTATTTCTTCAAATACCGCTCAAAGCCCACGTAAAACCGGACTGTTAATCAAAACTATCGGGCATTCTTAAGAGCTGATTTTTAGCACAGATAGTGAACGCGACGATACGTTTCGTACGAGTAATAAGTTGCACTCGACTGTACTAAAGTTCATAAACAACGTGCTTATTTTACAATAATGTGAATGCGCGGAGTATACTCAGTCCCAGTGCACTGATCAGAATCTCGGTAGGGACCGCCATTCAGTAATCATTTTTTTTTCTTTAATTTATTTCTTATTTAACTTTATTTAACAGCTATATGCTAGCAATCATAAAAGATGTATATCATTTTCTGGAAAAGGGACGCAAAGCCTGTAAAACTTGTTTAAAACATGTGCTTTAAACCACGTCGTATAATAAACCGCATCTTATAAGTCCTAACTAGTCCCGAGAAAATTGCCTTTTGCCAACAACTGTTTAGCGACCATCAACGAAATTAAAACAACAAAGTGTATTATGACTCTCAACCCTTGATTATGGGCCGCCTCGTTCGTGCTTTATGATTATGGGGCTGGTTTAAGGGTTGCCACAAATGCTATTAACTCTTTATGTTGAGAAATCAGAATGTTGAACTTGATTGAATTACATGACAATATTTCATACAAAACACACAAAAATATAAAGTTCACGTATTTAAACGGGCATTCCGATGGTTAAAATGTTTAATTTTCACCCCATTTTTTGAGTCTTCAAATGTTTGTATTAACAATAGATACCTAATCAAGGAAATTTTAGTCAGTATGAAAAAAAATATCGACGTAATATGGTCAGCACTAAATGTAGGGTTTTACTTTATAGCACATAAAACCTGTTTTGACGGACAACCTCTTTGTTTCTTATACGTTGATTCTCCCGCGTGTTCCAAATTCAAATTCGACAGCGGATTTAAAAAAAAAAAGAATCAATCCCGTAACACATCCCTATAAAATATATCCGCATATTCCCAAGCACCGCACGAAAAGAAGAATCTGTGACCGACTGTACGAATAATAAGTTCATTTTCCGTATCAGCCACTCGCGCCGTTTGAGTGCGGCCATTGTTTTCATTAGGGACATCGCCGGAAGACATGGCCATGCAAATTTGCGAGACATGCTAATGTCGACGTTGTAACTCGCCTTAAGGTCGGCTTCCGCTGGCTCGAACGTCACTCGCGACGAACTGTAGCCGGTTTCCGAGTATATCATTTTAGAGGTCTTCTTGAAGTATAAAGAAAACTTAAGTGAATTTACTGCGTGTTGGCGGAGTTCACATATGTTCGAAATATTTTTTTTTGTTATAATTTCGAAAATATGCAGGTTTCCTCACGTTGTTTTCCTTCAGATGTAACACTGTAAAAACATCATATTTTGAAACAAATGGCTATTATAGTCTAATCCACAACTTATGAACCGTTCATCTAACTCGATACTAACGAAGTCTTTGCTCTAACAGTGTGCCAATATGCTGATCATCATACGTACGATCAGTACTATATACGCACACTATATTATCGCATATTGTGAACTCATCCTACCTCGAATAAATCTTATAATTGTCTCTCTCTGACTACTAACACTAGCCAAAATACTTACAGCTCACGTATAATTATGCGTTACCTGTAAAAAAAAAACAATTGCACAAAGTCAATTGAGGTGTACGTTGCGTACAGCCATGTACAGAGATGATTTGGGGCGACGTTACGTCGTTATTATGGTCGTTTTCGAACCTTACGAGTAGTCATGACTGCGCCTAACCTTCGGCTAAATGCGTGCTAATGAAGAGATTGGCGTAAACCGGCGCTCGCATAAGCCAAAGGTATTAAGATAAGCCTCCACGATTACGCGGCGGAGACGCCATACACTTTTAATAACTACATTATACGCTGATCGGATGCGCACACAACGTGTTCATAATGAACGTTCTGGAAGTTCAGCGCATAGGCCCGCTGTCAATGCGGTTTGAGGTTCTAGTTTCATTTTCATTGGGAAAATCTTTTAGATGATACATCGGATGCCCTCTTGTTGTACCGTAGTATGAAGTTACGTGTAAGCTTGTCAGTAAATCATATGTAATCATGATAAAATGATTCCAAATTGCATTGTTTTCGTGTGAAGCTAGTATATTATACGGATGATTTTGTAATCAAAATATATAATTGATCTAGATATTATATAATCATAATGTAGTCAGCGTATTAATGTACTATTGTAACGTCTGTTAAGCCATTTAAGTACAACATTTTTATCATCATGTCACATGAGTTACCAAAAGGATTGTTAAACTCTTTAACATTTGACAAGCCATTTGACAGCATATTTATTAATTTCTACGATGATCATTGTTTCAGAAAACAGAATTTAATAAATTTACCACCGCACCAATGAAAGCGCACCTTAAAACAATAACCAAAATAAAAAACGTCCCGGCATCTTAATATCAGCTGCTTAGCATTCAGCGGTCTCGACGCCACCGCGCGGTCTGCTCTCGGGTC